TATATATATATATATATATATATATATATTATATATTTTTATATTTTATTATATATATATTATATGTATATATATATATATATATATATATACATATATTAAATTTATATAAATATACATATACATATATACATATATATAAATTAATAATTCCCTCTGCGTGACCTTCATCTCCTCATCGAGTAACCCCGTTGAACTTACCCCCCTTTGGCATGGATAGATGAATATGACACTCCAATAAGCAGAAGCAAGCACCTGTCCTCAGATGGAGCCGCCACATTTTGGACACATCTCGTCAGACAGAGAGAGATGACAGGCAGACCAAGACAGGGTCTAGCTCCCTGCCACTCTGCCCTTGTATCTGCAGTAAGGCCATCTCTCTCGTTCATATCTGGTGGCAAGCAGTGGTCTTCTGTTCACAGCTGATGGCAGCGGTGCTCCCAACCTCTGAATTCACATCTGGTGACTAGCGGTGGTCAAACTTCACAATGCCAATTTAGCATAACCTGTTGCCAAGATACGTCTCCTGTTAAAGGGCCTCCTCGCATCCCATAATATCCAGCCATCGTTACCAAGTCCTCTTCTGATCTACGCCTCCCCACACCATGTCTTCCCTACTACTTTCGTGCTGACCATTCATGCCTGTGCTACCCTTCTGACAAAGTTGCTGGAGATGTATTCTTTCACTCTACACCGCTACAGTTTGCTGGATCACCTGCCTTGCCAAGTTTTCACAAATCCATGTCAGTACAACCATGAAGTGACTTTTCTATTCGGCACGCCAATACTCCCTTGCTACTATTAAAGTAAGTGTTCCTATTTGTGCCAGATTAACTAATAGCCTATCCTCCCAGCACCTACCCACACCTTTCAAATGAGTTGCCTTCTTACTCAGTGAATGCACACTGCTAGCTCTATATTACAAAATTCCTCTCTGTCAGTCGCTGTGTTAACAACACAACAAACAAACAAAATCACACCCTGAGACTAGACGTAAGTGACATATGCTCTCATCTTACACCTCATTCCTGTCCTAAATATTCTTTAATTGGTATGGTGTGTTTTCTTTTTGTCTATTAATTTTACTGTCTTCACATGGCACAGTTTAGTATATTTTATTTAATCTCAAGTATATAGGTTATGTTTGGTTAGTCACTCTTTCATTTTTCTTGGCATCTTTGTAAGGTGATTAACAAATCATAGTATTATCCTCCTCCCTTGCCCTTTTACTGGCCTGGTAAACTTATATTTCAGCCTCTGAAGATGATGTGACCCTCATTGCTGCTGAATTTTACACCTCATTATGAAACCTACGTCATACACGCTACTCTGGCACACAATGATTTGAGAGACCATTGGATCACCAGGAACCATCTGTAGATGCCTAGCAGAACTTGTATCCCGATGCGCCACCAGTGCTTAAAATGTTACGTATTGCTAGAGGAAGAGCCTTTTGCATGGCCAAGTGATGTAAACAGTATTGTTCAACACATCTGGCCCTGGCAGAAACTGTGGATGTGCCTTATTGTCAAAGTCTTCATAAGTCAACTTCATCAGGGGAAGCAGCTGCTTCACACCTTCCATACCTGGGACTATTTGATTCAAGGTGATTTCCTCCCAGATGACATATATCTACTGCTCAAGTAATCCCTGGGAACTCACCCTCCTTTGCCACTGTTGGATGAATCTGACATTCCATCTGGCGGAAACAACTATCTGCCATTGGAGGGAGCTGCCACATTTCTGGACACATCTTGTCAGACAGAGAGAGAGAGAGAGAGAGAGAGAGAGAGAGAGAAACGACACATCTAGGGAGATGGGGGTTTCGTGGGGTTGTACATCTACCTTCAGCAATAAACCCACAAGGAAAGACCCCTTGGTGTGAAAGCATCCTGACTCTTGATCCTTATCAAGTCCATTGTTCATTTAATCAGACCAATGTAAACCAACTTCCCTTTCTGTTTCATATATGGATTCTCATGGAAACTCGCCCAAAGTATGTATGGAGGCTGGTTGATGAATTGAGTAATTTTGTAACATTTTAAAGGAAAGTTTGTTAGAAATATTGTAAATAAAGTACTGTGAGTGTTTGCCATTGTACAGTGCTTCATACAGTGGCCTTATGTTGGCAAATAATTCATAGTAATTCATCACTTATGTGATTAAATGGTTTTATAAGATATGTGTTCTGTTACTTCTTTTTTTCTTTCTTTCTTTTTCAAGGACAGATCTAGTCTAGTAGTTACTTTTTTTTCCAAGTATTGCATACAGAGAGATAGACGGATTTATACCATAGGTATTGGCAAGGAAGGAAATGGATTACCTGTTTTTGTATTTAAAAAATTTCCTGAATATGGAATGGCTTGCTGGCAGAGGAAATTAGACATTAGAAGCTAGTATCTTATAGAATGAAATAAATTGCTTCATATTGAGTAGAATTTTTTTGTTTTGTTTTTCCCACTTGAAAGAAATCCCATGAAGTGTAGTTTCATACAGCACTTTTTGTGGAACTTCAATTCAGTACATCTTCTCTATTTGCAAATTATATATGCCTTCATGAAGTCAGGAAGATGCTTTAATAACAAATAAAGTTTTTTTCTCTGACTTTGCAGAGCAAGTACTGGGCTATGGAGAAAGCTGCCACCTTTGTGTCAAGTGCATTCAGCAACAGAACCCCAGTGCTAAAAAACTAGTCTTCTCACAAGTACCATTCAGTAAAAGCCAAGTAAGCAAATTTATGTAAATAGTTAGTTATCGATTCATAGGTAGGTAAATAGTTGCCAACATATATTAGTCCAAATAGAGTAACAAAACTGAAGTTATATTTATTGTTATCCCGAAATATTATACTGGACAAATAGTTGCAAACAAACATATAAACCCTTTCTGCTTCTCCTTTAGATTCCAATGAGTTCTTGGTGGCGTTTCACCTTAAGAGAACGGATTAAACTCCTGGAACTTTTGGCTGACCCTCCGCCGCCAAGTCCAACGGCTGATCACATTCCTCCACCCCCAACTCAGGCTCAGAAGGACACAGAACACATCCTTAGTACCAACAGTATAGATATGGTTCTTACTGTCTTGTGGAAGGTGGGTGAACTTGAACCCTTAAAATTGTATATGGTGAAACTATAGACTTCTTATCCGTTGGATCTAGTTGTATCAAGGCAATCACATGGCTGAAAATACAGGCATTAGGCTTAGATGAGTGGTCGCTCTGCAAGACGAACACTCATGTGCCATGATAAAACTGCTCTATGTTATTTTGCATAAACATTTTTAGCTTTCTTGCCATATTCCACTGTCCATACATGTCTTTTGATGTGATTGATGTTAATCGACTGTTATCCATATCATCTCTCTATGTAGTACAAAGTGCGCCACTGGTCACTGTGGCCAGGAATATGATGCTGAGCATGGAAATGGTGTCCTCACTGAAGCCAGCACTCTTCCAGTCATGGCTTATGAACATTACATTCCATACTTGCTTATCCTGGTCACCTGGCCCGCAACCATTTTGTCCCATGACGGCAGGTTCATGTCACCTGGCCCTCGACCCATATTTTTCCTCTATGTGGTCATGTCACCCAGATCAAAGGAGTTAATTCTGGAGGCACCATATTCTTGCCATGACTAGTAAGAGAAATGGAGTCTCTGTGCTGGCGCAGTGGTAACATGCTAGCAATGAATGGTAACCCCGGCCATTCCTTGCACATGGGGAGATTTGGGCAAAATAAAACAGACAGTATGTTGCAGCAAAGAATATCCATTGGAACAAATGGCTCTTGGAAGAGAAGGCCAATGCCTTGATATTACTCACGTAGACTGGTGATTACTTGAAACAAACATGTAAATACGTAACAAAATACAGTATGTTGCAGCAAAGAATATCCATTGGAACAAATGGAATTAAAACTAAATCTTAAATCTTAAAATCTTATATTTTCTCTTGGAAGAGAAGGCCAATGCTATAAATTGAAAATTATTGTTATTGATATTACTCTTGTTATTGAGAAAAGACGTAGACTGGTGATTACTTGAAACATGAAACATGTAAATACGTAGTGTACAGTTGCTGGCCCCCAAAATGGTCTACTCTCTTTGAAACTGCGTCTTAAAAGGTCTTCTTGACACTTTAGGTCTCATGGGATAAGATGGATAGACTGAGAGGATTCATGTTGTGGGAAGGGTTAGAAGAGGAATATGAATTGTTAATTGAGGAGATTGAGGGGAGTTAGGTCTGTGGTATGAAGTATGGTGAGGGTTTTGAAAGTATATATCTATTATTAAGGTGTGCAGATTTAAATAATAGGTCTGAAAGGATGCCATCACATTTTTTACTCACCATTATAGTGACTGTGGAGCTAGTTAAAGTCATCTTTGATATTGGAAAAAGTTTAGGTATATATACAGCTCTATTTAGTATAGAACAGAGTGTGTGCATATGTGGATGCAAGTCTCTTTGTGTGTGTGTGTGTGTGCGTGTGTGCATGTGCGGATGTGCCTGTGTGTGCATGTGCATATCATTCACTTGAGCATACATGGTTCTCAAGGCAGATATCCTAGAGTACTGACTCGCACTTAGGGTTTTCAACAAAATTTTTATATTTTATGCCCAATTTTATTTTTTATTTTTATTTTTTCTTTCTTTGTCATTTAACCCATATTGACAGGTAAGGCTATTGCCATCGTGTTGTAATGATTTATGACTTGTATACACATCATGGCTCGCTCTAGTGAGTGAGCAGGTGAGCCAGCTATACACAACACACACCCTGCCAAAAAGGCTAGACAATTGCATAATGATAACATCACAAAATTCTGGCCCCATCATATTAGGGATAATATAAAGTGGTATTTATATGTTTCAAGTTTCATGGCAGTCACAAATAAATTAAGAGCATTATTTTCTTGTATTTCAATAGACCTAAGAAAATCCATTATGGTGGTAAACTCACAGACGCAGATCCAAATCCTACAAAACACATATTCTATGCTCTTGAATTAAGAATATCTAGAATGCGCTTGCAAAAAAAATAAGATTGACAGAATAGAAAAAAAAATCAATTAAAAAACAGTAAATTGTTATTTTAGGTTTCTCCAGGCCAACAAGAATACTCATTCTTTGATTTCTACCTGGCTATCATAATCCAGACAGAATTTCTGTTTTTCATCAAGCTGATTTCACTTTGTATGTGAAAAAATTATTATTTAAGGTAATCCAATATTAATGTTAAATGCATATAACCAATATTTTAACTAAAAAAGGAAAAAGAGAGAAAATAAATCTTCATAGAAATAATGTATAGAATTACATGTAGTTGTTAATAAGTTATACACATGAATTATATTTCTCTCAGTAAATTGCTTGCATTTATGGGGGATATTCTTGGTCAGTTCTGCACATGCTGCAGTTCCAATAGTCAATATCTGTTTTGTAGTCTTCTTGTTTTCCACATATGCACATTATAACATTTGTCAGTTCATGCAGAAATCATGACCATAGCATTAATGACTATGAGAAATCATTAGTATAGCATTACCACTTTCAATGTAATAAGAAAAGTAAATTATAATGTAAAATACCACTAATAAGTTGTTCATCAAAAAGGGGTGTGACATAGATTTTGGGATTTAATTTTCTAAATGCCCTTATGTGCATTGTACATCAGTCAGATGATGAAACTGAAGTTAGGAGCTGTAGACCTGACTCTAGGAATATTCTTTTGTTGGAATTCTAACTTGCCCTTTGGTTCTGAGTGTATGTACTGTCCATTTTATTTTTGCTCTGTCTGTTTCATTTACACATAGATGAGTTCACAAAAACTCAGCCACCAAAGAGTGTATAGGCCTACCTTATTGTGGTGGATTACCCGAAACTTGATTTTGTGGACAGAAAATTACTTTTAATATTACTGTTATTTTAGCTATTAACAGTATTGTTATTACTGATGGTATTGTTATTATAACAGTAAAAAAACAGTTAGTAATAGAAGTCTTTGGAGACTAGCCATTGGTGGACCCATCTTTGTATAAGCACAATCTGTGAAATGAAATCAGTGGACTTCCGATATAGATATACCCGCCTAGTGTGAATTGGTAAACACCTGTTCCAAGTGAAACAGTTGTTTTCATTTATACAAACTGACTCCTGCTCATTTTGTTATCAAATTTCATGCTTCTACAGGGGGAACGAGGAGGCCACACCATCTGGGGACAGCACAGCATCTACCTTGAGAATCTGGGTAACAGTGCAAGCATACCCCAATCACCAGTCATCCTTACAGGGGAAGAAGAAAAGCCTCCTGTGAGAATCATCCCAGAAACCCCTCCTTCACCAATACAGTCCCCTGTCCCCCCACCGTCTCAGCAGAAACATCTTGTCAAAGTTGCTGCTGATTTTCCTCAGGGGATGGAACATGATTTTCTGGCCAATAGGTAAGCATAGATCATTATTAGTACCATTATTTAGATTACTGTAGTCTGGGTAATTGTTATATGATACAAACCTACTGCCTTCTCTCATTATGCAATAAAATGGTCCATTTTAGATAAGCACTAATAAAATTGTAATAATAGTACACTTTCATTCCTTGTCAAGCAGATTATGCTGCCTTGAGTTTGTGTTGCTCTTGTATAATTGCACTGCATGTCAGCTGTCAGCCCATCTCAACCTTTGTCCAGAAGGCATATCAAACAGGTATGTGTATTGGTCGTGTTAAATGAGGTTTGGTTATGATCGAAAGCAGATTTCACTTTTTTGTACAAAAGTATGTTCTTTGAAACAATACACCATATTTTCATTCTGTAAGAATGTAATCCATTCATGCTGGATGATGTCTAACTGTATTGTGAACTGAGCCCAAAGTCAAGTCGAGTGTCTTCTTCTGGGAACCAATTCTAAATTTTATGCACTAAATAGATATTCACTTCTTTGGCTCAAACAAAAGTAAGTTTTAATAGTCTCATTTCTTTTAAGAATTGTGTGTTGCAGCAAAAAGCATAGATAACTGTGTAAATCAGTTTAATTTTTCCCCTGAGTGGCTGCCTGCACATAATGCTCAGTGTGGTGTTTGATACAATACATGGCAATTTTGTCATGAATGGGTATAGGAAGACAGCTGTCTAATTATCATGAAAAGTATCTTACAGTACAACAGCAAAGCCATTTGTAGCACATGTCTTTGTTTTTCAGCAATGGAAATTCAAGCAGCCACATGTACTCCCCTCAAGCAAGTACTAGGCTCCTTTATGTGGGAGGAACTGTGAGAAAGATTTCCTTGGTGCCTTGGGGATGCAGCAAAGTTCCTGTACGTGCTCTGGTCACCACCCCTGGGACATACAGTCTTGGAAACTTCACTTTAACTGCTCTTCGGTCTCATGCCACAGTTTCAGAGTCCCCTGTTGTCCAGAACTGTCAGTTACAGACAGCTGTTACAGTCAGACAGGCAGTAAGAGTTGATCATCATCATCACAACACATGATGTTCTCATATTACGGATGAAAGTTGACTAATTTTATTTTTTCTTTCTTTCTTTTTTTATTTTAGGTGATTTGTCAAATGAAATACTAGTGCCTGTGTCCTAATGCTTGCATATTAGCCAATACAGCATATAAATTTTGAAACTCAGTGCCCCAGCCCTTTTCAACATTCCTCTGCTCATGCTGTATCGCAGCTGCTCTGGGATGTGGTTTCACTGTATTAGAACTTCTTAGACAAGAAAAGAAAAAAATACACACAGTTAGAAATTACATACCCATTTCACAAAAAATGCATAAATAAGAAAATGGTAATTTTGTTAAAAACTGTTGGTTTTATAATTAAAGTTGATCAGCTGCGTATGGGTAGGTTTCGTAAGCTCTAAGTAAATAGTTATGTGCGCTGAGAGTTTTATTTAATTTTAAAGGAATCAGGTTTCCCAGATCTGAAAGTTGGTAATTAATTTGTTGAATATCTATGTATTTTTTTTATTATTATTATTATTATTATTATGATTATTGATAGAATGCATTAGATTTAGATAATTTACTCAAGTATGGTAGGTAAAAGAGTATTTGTTTTATTTGGCAACAGATTTTTTGCAACTTGCCATAAGAATAATGAATATTATATGGTGCATTATATCTTCTGAGAGAAAGGATTTATTTATTATTATTTTATTGTTGTTTTTTTCCCCCTGCATTATGATTTCATTGTTCAGGAAAGAGTGATGTGTTCGTGTTTGAACTGCATGATGAGTGCCTTCAGAATTGTGTGAGAATGTTTATTTATAACTACCTGGATGTTATTTTGTTAGACTTTTATCTCAGAAAACAGTGGTGAATAATTATACTAGTCAGCAAATGTTGTTAAAAGGATGAAGAAAATGTTTATGATATATAAAAAATGGAAATGCAGATGTAAGTATATAGGAAAGGTGCAAAACATGTTATTGTCTTTTTTCCCATTCTTAGTTGGTAATTTTTAGTGTGAATATATAGCAAAACAGTAGAACTTTGGGATATAACTGAAAATTATTTTGTGCCAAAAAGGGAAAGGTTAATATATACAGTAAGCAACTGGTCTTGAAGAATATGTAATGATGTTCCTTTTTGTACTCATTTCAGTGCATTCCAGAGGGACATACAATCAGAAAATGCATATGTAAAAAACTAAGATAAATTCAGATTCACAATGCCACAGAATCTAGGCTTCAATACTCCTGTTTTACATGTGTCATTTTTATATTATGTGGATAGTATATACTTCTTAATGATATTACAGTTGAAAAAGTTTATTGGTAAAGTTTTGTTCTGATGAGAAAGAATCACTTTACGAAAGTATGCTGTGATGTTTTTAGTACACATTTTCTTGAGTATTCTTGAGGAGGAAGAATACTCACTATTGGAATTAATGTAATTTTCAGTAATAAACAACATGGATGGCCAATATTAGAAGTGTTTTTTTGAAATATCAATACAATTTTTGACACATTTATTTTAGGGTTCATATGTAAATGAAATCAGAATCCTTGCATTACAGTGTTAGGAACTCAGAAATATGAAAAAATATATATGCACTGGAATTTCATTATGATAATTTTTATTTAGGGGAATAACAATATCTCATAATGAATTTTAAGGCAGTAATGCTGATTTGAAGAACATTATATGGAGATTAAATTATAATTTGGTAACCTGAAAGGAGTGCAGGAAGCTTGAAATCTTCGAATTTCACTTTATATTGAGACAGCTATAACTACAAAACTTGGTATCATGGAGAACTGATACAAATGGTAAACTTAATTAGAAAATCACCAACCATTTTCATAATGTTTTAAAATATGGGGACTATTTGGGTACTGAGGACATATAGAACCTGAAGACAAATCTCTCAGTTGGTAAAACATTAGCAAGCCATGTGATTACTTAAAGTAAAGAAAGTGATTGCAGAGTATTAAACTTAATAACTGTTGTTTGTTATTTCTTTTCTTTCTTTTCCTTTTTCTTCCTATTCTTTGTTTAACAGAGGTCTTGTTTAGTTAAAAAATTGTAGCACTTTAAATCTGATTATTTAGTGGAAGCAAACAATGTTTTCTTAATTATTTAATATTCTTCAAAGACAAGTACGCTGAATGCATGCAGTTTGAACTTTCAGTTAGGTCTTGAGTCAGGACTATTTGCAGATATCTAAACCTGTACACAAATTTCAAGGATAAAACACTCAGTGATAAATTGGAAACTTGAACTGTTCAGTGGAATGGCTTGATGTTCAAGAATGGTTCAGTGTTGCTCAGCCTGGTTGTGCTGTGTTTAATTCCTTTGTATTTTTTAAAATATATTTGGACATAATGGTGAAGTTAACAGTTTTCTTAAATGAATAATTCTGAAAATAAGATCTTGGAAGATCTATAAAACATCAATTCCAGTGGTCGCACTTGTATGTACTTTTAGAAGTATGGTAGTATTATCTGCTATGCACATAGAGCATCTGTACTAGTTAAAAACATGTCACTTATCATGTTTGAGCATACATTAGTGTGTTCCACTCATTGCTCTTTAGTGTAAAGGAACTTTTTTTTATATGTACAGAATATATTAAACATTTTTAGGAAAACTTCCCTTTTTTAAATCTGTATCCATTCCATCTTCCTAAAATGGAGATTATGCAAATTGTTATGAATATATGTAAATAATATAATGGACCTTGAAGTTATGAAACCATTATATATATATGAATATATAGGCAGTATATATATATGTAAAGTGTGTAATACAATTTTGTGGAAAACTGTGTCTGCAATTGATTACATTTTGGGACCTTTGAAATAAAGTGTTTATGTTCATTTTCTCTGATACTAGTTTTAATAACCATGTATTGAATAAAAATTGTAAGAAAGTATTCATATGTTTTTTAAAAGGCCTCCAGTGCCTCATAAAGGTAAATAATGCTTTACTATAGAAAAAAAAAGAAAGTAATGGTAATTGCAAAAGAAAAGACATAACTTATATTTTTATTACTTCACATCTACTACCAACCTAATCCCTTGTTTGTTGTTGCGTGTGTGTGTGGGGGGGAGGGCTTAGGAGATGGAGACTGAGGCCCAATGTAGGGGATCGCCCTTACCTTCGGCCTCAGCCCTCACCTCAATTAATTTTACATGATCTTTTCTTTTCCCCCTTTCCTTTTCCTTCTCTTATTTATCTCCTGTCCATTTCCTAAGGTGTAAGAGGCGTGCTTAAAGGATGAAAGGTTGGCTTTGTGTCAGTTGTGAATGGCCTCCGGGAGCCATAGGCACGGTAAATTACTTAGCTTTAACCCCTTATGGAGACCTGACTTTTTCTTTTCCCCATTCATTTCAGGCTTACCATGGAAGATTTTTTACCCACATAAGACTAGCCCCCCTAAACCATTGCTCCTTGTGATCATTCCCGGCATAAGAGACGGTGAAAGACCCAGTGTAGGAGATTACCACTACCTTAGGGCTCAGCCCTTGTCTTAACAAATTTTACATGGTCTTTTCTTCTCCCCCTTTTCTTTTCTTTCTCTTCTTCATTTCCTTCATTCATCCCCTCCAACCCCTTGCCTGTTGTTGTTGTGGGGTGGGGGGGCTTAGGAGGAGAGGACTGGGACCCAATGCTGGAGATCTCCTCTACCTTGGGCCTCAGGCCTCGTCTCCTCAAATTTTGCAGTCTTTTTCCCCTCCTGGTTTTTGGTTTTCGTCCCTACTCCAACCCCTTCCACTATACACTTCCTAAAGTGTAAGAGCCGTGCTGAAAGGGTGAAAGTCTGACTTTGTGCCAGTCCTGAATGCCCTGGGGGAACCATGGGCACCTTGTTCCCGTTTTAATTGTCTAGCCCTTTCCCCTCGAGGGAACCCTGAGTGCTGGACTGGTTCTCTCCCTAACAAAGTCTAGGCTTACCATGGCCAATAATGAAGACGTTATACCCTTGTTAGGGCCAATGAGGCTTGGTCCTTCATGAAATAGCCCCAACAACTCAAACTCGCCCAGTTCCCTGACCCCAGGCTCTCCTTCGACCATGACTCTGAACACTGCAACTACTACCCTCCCGTCAATGCCTACTAGTACATTATCCTTCAAAGTCAAGACAATCTCCAGAAGATATTCCTACTCTCCCAACATTCTCAACTTCATCACCTTTACCCCTACAACCTTCTTCATTAATCTTCACTTACTCGCCTACCTCACAGACTATGATGCAATATCAGTACAATGCTACTCCATTCCTCCAAGAGGTCATCGTAAAAAAAAAACACCAACATTGCCAAAATTACTTTCCGTAGACATGACCTCTTTAATGTTTACATTGGTGGAGAATCCCTCCCTTTCCGACCGTTATTAACTTCCTCCCGGTCAATGTCAAAATTGATGCCGTTTAGGGCATCCTGCCAAACACTGCCGTTCCACAGCCTGATGCCCTCTGTGCCCAACCAGGTCATAACCGATCAAACTGCTCTGCACAGTCACGCAAATGCGCTAACTGCAACAGCCCCCATAATATATTTTATAGGGGCTGACCCACGTACAAGTTTGAGTCTGAGGTGTCAACTCTCCAATTGACACCGTAAATCCTCGTCCACCCTCAAAGCCCACTACACCCGCTCCCTCCCCACTCAAAGTGACAGCCGATATCCATCCTCCTACAACTCATATTACCCTTACCCTCCTTCCTCCTACTCCCTCCCAATACAGCCCTCCCATCCCTTCCACTCTCCCCGTGGATACACACGTGAATTCTCATGTCACAATTACGCCCTTTCCCAGATCCTTCACCTCCTGATACTACCCCCCCTCTAATTCCTTATCTCTCCCCCTAGCTCCTTCCCCTTCAAAAACCCGCATGTAACCGTTATCACTTATAGATCAACTGAGTTATAGCTCTTCTAAATTGGATTATTCGCAGTTACCGTTCTTTCTTCTTATAACCTATCCATTATTTACCTCCAAGAGATTTTTCTTACACATCCACCTATACCAATTTCCAACTAGCATTTTGTCTCTTCCTCACACTCCCTTTATGTCTGGTCTATACTTATCCATCAGAAAACACCTTATATCATATCTCCCTTTCAAACCACTATCCCGTGTTATTCGCATTTTTCTTCGCCGTTGGATCATAGTCATTTCAGTCTACTTCTCCCCTTCCCACCCCATTGACTTTGTTGCCTTTGAAACTAATTTCCCATCTCCAGGCACCTTTCCTCGTACTTGTTGATTTTAGCTGCTGCCACACTCTGGGGTGATTCTATCACCACCTCCTGTGGCCGATCCCTAGAATGCTTCCTCTCCACAAATGACCTTATTCTTAATTCAGATCGCCCCATATGCCTTGACCTCTCTCTATGCTTCCCTCCTCTCCATTTAGATTTTCATTGGTCAGTTCTAGATCACTTTCCCTATAGCAGGGGTCGACAACATTCTGAACATAGTGTGCCAGTTTATAATTAATGCCTTCTTATTGATAATTAAACCTTGAGTGCCATTTGTTTTCATTTCAGCTAAATATATTTTCCTGCACATGCATAACATAAATGTAATATTTTTGCAGCATTTAGTATTCTTTGTAACAACAACAACAAAAAACGTATATGTTTTACAATGTTAGATTTATACTCACCATATTAATATCTGGACACAATTGCTAATAGCAAGGCCAAGGCTACCTTCTTTATACAACGGAATTCATCAGACAGTGGTGTCTGGGAACTTAATATGGAGGCTGCATGATCATTTGCAGTAGTTTCCAATATTTATCGATTTTATAATTTAGCATATTGACCCATTCACTCATCAACTCCTTTACCCATCTTTAACCTTTTCAATAGTACTCTAGACCATAGGTCAGCAACCTTTTGAACATTGTGTGCCAGTTTATAATTAATTAATGCTTTCTTATTCATAACCTTTCATGCCAGTTTTATTTCGGCACTGTATACCCAAATGTATTTTCATGCACGTGTATAACATAAAGGTAATATTTGTGTAACATTTAGTATTCTTTGTAACGAAAAATCTGTTTTATAAGTTTAGATTTATAACCATATCAGTATCTGGACACACTGAGCTTCAAACAACCCTCAGAGTGATCTGTAGTAAGCCTGCAATGATAGGGGCTGAGGGTATGCTGCATGTGTGAAAACATTTGGCTCACTTTGGTGCAAAGGCTGATAGCAATGCCAAGTCTACTTTCTTTATGCAATATTTTCTAATATTTCTTGATTTTAAAATTTAGCTAACCATAATCATAAGACTCTCCCTCTCTCTCTCATATTATTTTCCTGTTCAACTTTTTTCTTTGCTCCTCTGAATATCATAGCATGCCATAGACAAGTGCTCTGCGTGCCAAGTCTGGCACTCGTGCTAAACGTTGCCGACTTCTGCTTTAGGTAGTTGAAGTATAGCAACTAACTACTAACTCAACCACCTTTCACTACCCTTTACTGTACCTTCCTCTAGTGCTACATGGTCTTAGATGTATAACACATTTATTTTGCTTTTGATCATTAACCACTAACCAACCCTTCTTCCGTCCTTTCCTAAGGCATGAGAACTGTGCTGAAAGCATGAAAGGCTGGCTTTGTGTTAGTCATTAACGGCATGGTATTCCCTTGGTTAACCGCCTAGCCCTTGCCGTGTACGGGGATTCTAAGGGTTAGACTATTTCTTTTCTCCACTTATACCAGGCTCTCCATACCCAATAATGAAGTCCTCCCCTTTCAGGTGCATCAAAGCTTGCCCCTTCATCAAACAGCATATAAATTTGATTTCGTTGGTTTTCCCACTCCCGCCTCTCCTTTAACCATGGCTCCGACCACTGATACTAATACCCTCTCCTCGATGTCTATTGACAACCCTATCCATTCCGAAACATCCACCCAGGTCATTACTCAACCTTCAAAGAGCATCCCTTCCTCTCTCAACATTCTCCACTCCATCTGCAGTCTTCTTTATTGTCTACCCCCCCCCTCATTACTACTCTTCATCCTTAATGTCCTCCTCCCCACATACTACCTCACTCCACACCACACATCTTCCTACCCTCGTTCTTCTACTGCTTCCACCTTTGCAAACCTTTTGAGTATTCTCTTTGGCCCATCCAAGTGGGATCGATTCTTTGTGATTCCCCCTACAGCCCCATACTCTGACAATATCCTTCTCTTCCGACAATGTCTCCAAAAACAGTAGGCAAAATATCCTTTCGCAGTCGTTCTGATCGTTCACACTTTGTCACAGTTACATCTAAGTCCCAAGCTCGTGCACTGTCTACCCTGACACACTCTCACTGGCAAACCTATACCTGCTGAACCTCACTCCTCTCTTAATACTTGTACCGGAACTGTTTCCGTCTCCCCAACTGATTGTCCTATCTACGACAAAAATTGCTTTATTTACTACGATGCAGTGGTAGTACATGGTGCTACATTATTCCTCCCAAAAGACAGCGTAGTTCTTACACCAATATTTCCAAGGTTAGCTTCAGTATACATGACCTCCCCCATGAAGTTTATATTGGCGGAGCATCCTGCCTTGTCCGACCATATTGACCCCTTCCTCGTCAATGTCAGAAATGGCGGTTTGGCCACCTAGCCAAACATTGTCGTTCCACAACCTTCCGCCTTCTTTGTGCTGAACTGGTCATGACCGTTCAAATTGCTCTGTTCAGTCATTATGTGGTGCCAATTGTGGTGGTTGCCCTGTCTATGAACTCGAATGTGAGGTCAGATTCAAACTAAGCCTCACCCCTTTCGTCAGACCAGGCCCTTTTACCCTTTTCACAATACTTTACCATAGTGCTATATGGCCTTTGATGTCTAGCACATTTATTTGTTT